ACATTGGAGAGTAAAGCTCTTTATCACATCTACAATTCTAATTAACTTTTTCTGTTGTGCAGACAGCTCTCCCGCTCCTGCTGAAGGAGCCTGGTGGTGCACCACTGAATCTTCCCTCAGGCTCCACGAGTTTGCTAGCTGAACTCTCAAAAGTAATACTGCAGAAAACAAAATGAGTTTCATGGTTACTAGGGGCTTTAGCAGCGGAGATGCTGAATGATCAACAGAGTTCAGGGAGTCATCAAAAAAGCAGTCCCTCAAACTAAAAGGGTTGCTTTGTGAAAGGGATCAAATGCAAATTAATTTGATGCTTTTTTGAGTAGATACCTCAATACATCTTAGTATGTTTTCACTGCCCCCATTATTCCCAGCTCAGATTCTTAAATCTCTTATTTCTCTCTGCCTCTGTCTAGCTTAGATTTGTGTGTGTAAGTGAAGGCAGTTGTGTCTACTTTGATCTGGAGAGTCTATGGTTTCAGGCTGCCAAGATCTTGCTATTGTCTGGTAGCAAGGGGAAAGCAGAGATGGATTTGTGCATTCTAGCTTACTGATACACCAAAATCAAGCAGTTGATTTAGCTATTTCTTATTTAAAAAAAAAAAAAAAACATAAAAACAAAAACTGAAGCCAGTCAGTGGTGGTGCACACTTTTAATCTCAGCATTCAGGAGGCAGAGGCAGGTGGACCTCTAAGTTCGAGGCCAGCCTGCTCTACAGAGCGAGTTCCACGACAGCCAGGGCTACACAGAAAAACCCTGCCATCGAAAAACCAAAAACCAACCAACCAACCAACCAACCAAACAAACAAACAAGCAAATAAAGCCCCCGCCATTCCATGGAAGTTTACAGGGTTGGGGATCAGAAAAGCCACACAGTGAGGCTGCTGCCTGAAAGCAGACCCAGAGTTGCATATTTGTCTGTCTGGGTTGTCATCTGCCTCCCACTCTCACCCCCAACAGCTCACCCCCGGTCTTGTTCCCTCTCTTCCTTCCCTCACTCGTCCCCACCTTGAACTGTTTTCAAGCAAACACAGAAGCTGTGTCACTTAGTCTATGTGGCCCTCTCTTTCATTTAAAAAAAAATATTCTTAATTTTATTTTACCTGTGTGGGTGTTTTGCTTGCACATATTTCTGTGTGCCACATGCCAGAAGGGTCCCAGCACTGAGGAGGAGATGTGGGTATGCGTTTCCACCCCCAACCAAGAAGCTAGCTGTTGCCCACCGGCAAAGGAAAACTCGCTTTTCTCAAATGGAGTCTCACGGGGATTATCAACCGCCCCTCAAGGGAGGCCCAGCGTCGGAGAGTACTTGTCTGACACAAAACAAACTCACTGGTATTTTTGTAGAAGTTTTGTCTCATTTTGCTTTATATGTTTTTTTTGTTTTGTTTGTTTTTTTTTTTTGTTTTTGTCTTATTGGTCTTTTGCTTGTTTATTTTAATTTCCATTTTTCCTGTTTGTGTGTGTTTCATGTTTTTGTCTTTTTTTTAAGAGAGAAAGTTTAAGAGAGAGAGCATAAAGTGTGATGGATAGTGAGGTGGAGAGGATCTGGGAGGAATTGGGGGAGGGGAAATATGATTAAAATATACAGTAAAAACTGTTTTTTTTTCAATTAAAGAAGAAGAAGAAGAAGAAGAAGAAGAAGAAGAAGAAGAAGAAAGACTGTGTTCACTGGCACCGCTGCAGCCTGCACTGTGTTGCCTGCAGTTGGCTTGTCTTCCTGTGGGAGCTGTTGGATGAAAATGCTACAAAAGTCCTAAAATCATCCATGTGTCAGAGTTTCTTTGCTGTGTGACCCAGGAGTCAGCTGAGGGTTCACTTGGACCTCATAGCTGACCCTTTACGTAAGAGTCCCCAGGTTAGGGGCCAATCAGATGGCTCGTTGGGTAAAGGTGCTTACTGCAGAGTCTTATCACCTGAGCTTTGATCCTCAGGCCCTCCCGTGAGAGAACCATTCTTGCAAGTTGTTCTGTGACCTTTACAAGTACACACTCTTGCGAGTGCACGAGCACGCACATACACACAAATAAATACATGTCAGGATGAAAAGCCTCCCGGGCTCCTCAGACATCTTAGTTGATGTCTCACGACAGTACAGAATTCCTAAGACCCCACTCTCACAGTTTAAAGATAGACCCCAGGACCCAGACAGGACCCCGTTTCCCGTTGCTTCTGTTCTGCTGTCTCCCTGCTCTACGGGATATTTTCCCGGTCTGCACTGTGCAGAGCCAAAGGAAGGTAGGACCAGACACAGAGGGTGTGGCTCCTGATGCCTGTCTCCTACAGAGCAGCTCAGAGTGCTGTATTAGACAGTGAGCAGACGGGCGGGGACTGATGGCTGCGGGCAGGAGCATAGAGGGGGGCTGCTGGGATCCCCAGCCTCCTCGGTGTTCAAGGATCCTGCATGTTGTTGTCAGGGAGTGCGGAGGCCTAGGAATAGAACCTGATTCTTGGCTGGGTCACTTTTGTGATCAGCACTGCACAGGAACTTTTCATCTTGGCCTGTACTGCTTGAAACACACAGGCTTTCCGTTACACCCACTGGCCAGCCAGGGCTGACATCAATTACTCCAGCCTCCGTTCCTGACCGTCCTCACTTTCTGAGACTCTGTCCACTCTGATGGTTTCCTCTAGTCCCGAGAGAGGAAAGGCCAGTCTGGAGCAGCAGGATCCCAGCCGATGCCTCCTGGCTGCTGTGCTTATCTTTATCCCTCCATCTCTTCTCAAGAAAACGCTGGAGGGTATGTGCCATCTAAATGAGGACGTGAACTGAGGGCACAGGCAGAGAGCCTTGCAGAGGGCTGGAGGAGCTCACGGAGGGGGGCGGGGCGCACAGCTGTGCTCCCTACAAATAAAAATGGGAGCCAGTGCATCAGGCCCTGAGTCACAGCCCGGGTTGTTTAAGGTTATAGCCACCAGGCAACTGTCTGTCTTGATGTATGGATGCAAAGTATTTGGGTGTGTCTGGGATACATGCACTCCCTGCTTCTAGGAGCGTCTGAGGACACCGATGCTCCTTTCTAGCAGCTGTTCCAATGTCTCGGTGTTGAGTAAGAAAACCCAAGGTAGTTTCTGTCTTTGACTAAGTCTTTCCTGGAAAAGCAGCACTTCCTGCTGCCTGAGCCATTGGAGAGCCTCAAAGGCTAGAGGACTCGGAAATCTGGCAGCCTTCTGCTCAGCCATTCTCCTGGTTCCTTGATCTCAGTGGGGGTTCGTCACCTTTTCCTCACCGAGTCAGGCCTGTGCCTCTTGCTCAGCTTTTCAAAGCTCAATGGCATTTTCTAGAGATTCCCACAAAGGCCCAGAATTCAAGAAGAAATTGTAGGGAGTCGTGAGCAGCCAAGTCAAGAGAAGGTGGTCCTCTGGGTGTCTACTCGGAGGATGTGACAGGGTGCCTGCTCTGTTTTCTGCACTCCGTGGGCATTAGGCTTCACTTTAATGTCACGCTCCTGTGCACACGTGCGCACGCACACACACACACACGTACACACACACACCTGGGATGTTCTCTCTGTGCTTACAGTTTACAATAAAAGCATCTTAGGGTTGAGGATCACTTCTGGAAAATAATATGACAACTTCCTCCTGAAGAAAGTGCTTAGCACAGAAGCGAGCGTGCCCTATATTATCAGGGTCACTTTGTGCCGCTGGCTGAAGTCTCAGCCTACAGAAGGAGAACATCCGGCTTCTGAATGTTGGGCTGCCTGCCAACCTCAAGTCACTGAACAAACACATTCGCCTTCAAGAACAAGTGCGATGCAGATGCCCGCTGCACCTACCTTGGCACAAAATACAGTCGGTGGATTGTTTGAGGTACAGAACAAAACACAGAACATGTGGGGGTGTGCCCACATTGTCCATCTTTCTGTCTTGGCTTTCCTTCCCTTGCAGCCACTGTGGGGGGGGGGCAGTCTGCACAGCTGGCTGGTTGGTGAGTCGACACATTACACTGAAATGTTTTCTGTGTGATCCTCACAGGTGTTTTTGCTGTTGTTTTCCTGCAGAGGGGATACACAGACCTTTAAACACTGGGAGTTAGCCAGGTGTGGTGGCCCATTCCTTTAACATCTGCACCTGGGAGGCAGAGGCAGGAGGTTCTCCAGAGTCCAAAGCCACCCTGCATACGGTCTGCATAGCAAGTTCCAGGAGAGCCAGGGTTACATTCTTTTCTGAGATGGACACTCAACCAAAGACCATAAGAGGATAAAACCTAGAACCTATGCTCGGATGTGACCCGTGATAGCTCAGTAATCAATTGGTTTCCCATAGTAAGGGGAACAAGGACTATTTCTAACAGGAACTCAATGACTGGCTCTTTGACCTCCCCACCTCCCAAGGAAGGAGCAGTACTGTTAGGCCACAGAGGAGGACTTTGCAGCCAGCCCTGAAGATACCTGATAAAACGGAGCCATATGAAAGGGGAGGAGCTCCTCCCCTATCAGTGGACTTGGAAAGGGGCAGGGAGGAGTTGAGGGAGGGAGGGTGGGACTGGGGAGGGAATGAGGGATACAGCTGGGATACAGAATTAACAAAATGTAACTAATGAGAAAAATAAAACTTAAAAAAAAAAAAGCTGATTGAAGAGAACTGATAGACTAAGATCAGAAAGAAGAGGAGAACCTCCCCTATCAGTGGACTTGGGGAGTGGCATGCATGCAGAAAGGGGAGGGAGGGTGGGATAGGGAGGGGAGGAGGGAGGGGCTTATGGGGGGATACAAAATGAATAAAGTGTAATTAATAAAAAAAAAAAAGTGTTCAGAGTAGTCCTGGCAGAAAGCATGTGCCAGTGAGAGGCAGGAATACAAGGGGCAAATCCAGGAACCCTCTGTGCTTCTGCTTAGCACATGACACAACTGCAGAAACTGGAGTGACTTTTGCTCCCTTGAAGAATTGTATCCCCTCCCCCAACACATGCGCACAAGAATCCAGAGCATTCAGGCAGGCGGCAGGTTCAAAAGAAGCCACCTCCATTTCAGGTGATTCTAATTTTTTTTCTTTTAATTATCACCAGGGTCTAATGTGATTTTGAGTTCAGAATCCACCTATAAATTGAAAGTGGAAGCTGAACAGTCTTGTAAGAAGGAGGAGAGAATCCATTAGTTTGTTCAACAAATATTTATCAACTGGCAGCTGAGCTACTTCTCGGCAATAGAGGGAGGCACGAAGCCAAGTGCCTCTCTTATGGGCCGTTCTCACCCAGGGAGTGGGGAGAGATAGATTAGAGTGAGTGTGTGTATAGCTATGGACAGATATGGGGTGTGCTGTGAAGAAGGCATGGAGAAGCCGAGAGTGCTGGAGGTAAGGGTGAAGACGCCGAGAGTGCTGGAGGTGAGGGTGGTCATTACACAGAGATGGGTCAGGACGGAAAAAAGTGGTGCAGAAAGCGAGCAATGACGCTACTTCCCGGGGGAAGAGCGTTGGGAGTTAGCCTGGGCTATGTAGTGAGATCTTTTCTTGGCAAAATAGAAAGGCGTGGTGGGAAATGCTTGTGTGTTGGCGGTCTGCATATTTGCAATTAAACTTCACAGCTCATTCCTGTAATGTACATATAGAAAAGGGCAGTGTTATTGTATTCCAGGGGTGTAGATTTTTGTTGTGATGTCAGAAGCTGACCTTCCACGCACTTGTGTAGCCTAAAGTTAAGGGTAGGTGGTTTTTACCAGTTTGAACTACCGCCAAGTTCTTGGGGGAAACAAAACAAAACTTAAGTAACTATGACCTTGAGGCCCACATCAGAGGTGTTCGTCACAGCTTAACAATGTAGCTTTGAAAGCTAGCAGCTAAAAATGAATTAAAAGCCAGTAAAGGGGCTGGAGAGATGGCTCTGTGGTTAAGAGCACTGGCTGCTCTTCCTGAAGGTCCTGAGTTCAATTCCCAGCAACCACATGGTGGCTCACAACCATCTGTAATGGGATCTTCTAGTGTGGATGAAGACAGATCACACATATACATAAAATAAATAAATGTATTTTTTTTTTAAATCCAGTGAAATCAGAGGGTACGATCATGATTTGAGGCAACTGCTTCTTATCACTCTTTCTTATGATCACAGGCACCAGAACATGAATGCCCATCACTGAAAGGCACTGTGCTGCCTGGAGTCACCTCCTGGAGAGGGAGAGGGCAGAGCTCCATCCCTCTGTCTTCATTAGGTCCCACGGCGCAGCTCTAGGAAGGGGGAAGCAACTCCCAGCACTCAGGATCCAGCCAGAGGTTTCCACCTGAGTCCCTTCTCATGTCCTGAGGGTTGGGACATGAGATGGGTGACTGAGAAGAACGGGACAGGGGCACAGGTGGACTTGTTTCATCCTCCTATTAATAACAGACAAAAATCACCCCATCTCACTAGAGAAATCCTCGGGGCCAGACGCCACAAGGTGGATTTTGAGTAACTTGTTGTTACCTGCTGCCTTTGTGTGACTTTCCTGTGAGTCAGCCACAGAGAATTGACCTGCTCTCCACGAGCGCTCTGAGTGGCTCTCTAGAGGGCACACCGGCCATCCGTCCTACCCCCGGCACCCCACACTAAGCCAAGCCCTGGAGCTAGCACCAGCAAGAACACGCCAGGTCCTTTCACAGATGCTCCTCTTTCGTCAGTCTGCCAGGGTGATAGTTATACCTTAAGCCTTTTTCATGACTGTGGGTTTTTTTTTTAAGGTGGACTTTGGGGTTGGGTATGGACATCTGCTTTAGCGTGGGAAAATCCATGCTACTGCCTGCATGGCACTTTTTTTTTTTTTTTTTTTTTTTTTAATCTGCAACCTGAGGGGATGTTAGGACCACCTCCACCCCGGGGCCTCTGAGACTTGGTTAGAGGATGAGGTGGGAGAGGTCATGTGACACCACTGGAACAGCACAGCAGTTCTGGTCAGACCCACCCAGTGACCCTTGGTGCAGACTATTTCCTGGATTTTTTTGCCTCAGGGCTTTCTCTGTTCTTGTCCATAGCACACCAGAAGTATCCCCAGGGAGAACCCTCCACAGGGAGGGGCAGGGCTTGGTGAGCGTGTCTCCTTCCACGTTCCTCGGATGATCTTTTTAAAGATCTTGTCACGCAGGCGGGGGTGTGGCTTGGTTGGTAGTGAGCACAGCTAGCATGTACGAAGCCCTGAGCTGGCTCCCCAGCACTGCATAAAACAGGCATGTGTGGTGGTACATGCTGTAATCCTAGCTCTCTGGAGGTAGAGGCGGGCGGGAACTGAAGTTGAAGGTTATCTTTGACAACATCGCTAGTTTAAAGCCAGCTTGGCCTATACAAGCTCTGTCTTCAGTCAGTCTGAGGAAAACACTCAGTGAAAATGTGTAACTCAGTGGAAAACACAAAGCCTGCATAATCATCAGTGATGCTGTTCTCACGGGGACCTGAGAATTTCGTTGGCTTGAGCCCCCATTGCCCACAGCTTTGGTTGAACATTCCTGGTTAATCCACAGCCTGGCTGCTGTGGGTGAAAGCGAAAGTCAGACAGTTGCCCAGGGAAAGCTTCCTCCAAAAGTTGGCCTCTGAGCTGGGAGCTGGGTGTAGGGACTGACTCAGTCCAGGGTCCATGCATGAGCTGAGGAGGCCCTGCCCTGAGGCAGTCTTGGGTGTGTGGAACGATAGAAACTTCTGGGGCCATACAGGGTGAGGGAGGCAGTGGCAAGAGAGGATGTGGGAAAGGGAGGAGCCAGGGGCCGCAGGGCTTCCTCTCCCTGAATAAGAGGCTGTTCTAGCCCTCAGAACATCACTGCTTCTTGAGATCTCACTCTCTCTCACTGCAGGCTAGGCGCTGAAACCCAATTTGCTCAGTGTCTGAGTCCTAGGATAAGTATCTATGCAAATAATGCAATTAAACGAGCAAATCAAACAAAGCCAGGCATGGTAGTACATGCCTAGAATCACAGCCCTCCAGAGGTGGAGGCAGGAAGACCAGTTTAAGGTTAGTCTGGGGTACGTGAAACTCTTAGAATAGAAACAAAAACAGCCCTAAGCAACTAACTACATAAACAAACAAATCATGGGACCATGAGCTACAGCAAAGGCATAAACTTAAGTCAGGATCTAGCTTTAATGTCTTTTAATATTGACCTTAAGTATGGAAGCCTGGCGTCTAACTCCACAGCTCAGCCCTGAGCTCAGAAGAGGGTACAGGATCCCAAGGCCACTGAGCATTTCCCCATGTCCCTTTCTACAGTCAGAGCTGCCAGCCCACACACAGGCTTCAGCACCCATGGAGCAAAATGCTCTGGGGTGTGGACAGAGACCGCGGCCTATGGCTGAAGGAGCGAGGGGCGGGACTCTACCCTGACTGCCACTTCTCTTTCTTACTGTGTATGTGAAACAGGCTCTGTCTCTTATAGACACAGAGACAAAGTTAAGAGTTGGCCATCAAAAACAAACAAACAAACACCAAAAACCTTAAGTCAAAGTCATAGAAACAAGCGATACAAGTCAGACAGTTGCCGGGGGCCGCAGAAAGGGAATGGAAAGCTGTTTAATGGCTATCAAATTAGATATTTGCTATGAACATGCAAGGTGTGTGTGTGTGTGCGTGTGTGTGTGTGTGTGTGTGTGTGTGTGTGTGTGTGTGTGTGTGTACATGTACCACCTGTGCAGATGCCCAGAATGCCCTGCCCCTGGAGTTACAGGTGGCTGTGAGCCACTCAAAGTGGGTCCTGGGAACTGAACACGGGTCCTTTGGAATGGCAGCAATCACTCTTGACCACTGAGACATCTCTCCAGCCCCCGAACTTTGCATTGTAAAATAACAGCAACTGTGCATTTATCACCACTTTTAAAGCCAAGGTGTCCAGCAACAGTGTGGCAGCGGTGCTACCTGCTTTGCCTGGTACAGCTGTGGCTGACCTTGCTGCCGGTCCAGTTTGTAGACCTAAAACTCTGATGTTCCCATAGGAGCCTGCACCTCAGAGGCGCCCAGAAGTGACAAAGACCCATGACTTTCTCTGATCTCCAAGCAGTAGCTTGGAGCTGACAGATGAGCTCAGAGAAAGTATCTGCCACAGGCATCCGCGCCACCTGAACTTGTTTTTCTTTCCTACGGCTCTGCTGACAAGCCAAGGACTGCACTCAAGCACTCTTGCTGGGCTGGGCTGGGCAGTTGAGGCTTCTTTTCCCGGCCTGAAGAGAATGCCCTGAACTGAGTCGTTAATTCAATGACTACCTCTCTCTCTCCTTGGCAAACTGGGCTCTCTGTTACACCAGTTTGGCCTCTTTTCCCAACATGGTAATTAGACCAGCTAAACTGAGCTGTGTGGAGTTATGCTTATAAAAGCGTGTGTCTGACCCAGCTCTGAAAAAAAAAAAAAAGTTTCTTTAAACCTGAACTCTAAGGCTGGAGAGAATGCTCAGGGGTTGGCAGCACCGAATGCTCTTCCAGAGGACCCGGGTTCAAGTCCCAGCACCCACATGGCAGCTCACAACTGTCTGTACCTGCAATTTCAGGGGATCTGAAACCCTCACATGCACATACATGCAAGCAAAAATCATACCAATGCATATTTGAAAACAAAGCAAAACACCTGAACTCTAGACCACAAGCTTGTTTTCTGACTTTTAAGTCAGCAGTATTTCCTGACCAAAAGAGTGCAGAAAAATATTATGTAGCTCAAAAGCTACAAACCCAACCCATTGCTAGTCTATGCTTGTTTTACCAGTGAGTGGCTGAACTGATATAAAAAAAAAAAATCATACATCAGGCTAATTTGGAGGATGTGACTGAATTTGAGGATGATATTTTATTTTTTCTAAATTTTTTTCTACAAAGTTGTAGACTTTGAATTTAGGCACTGGATTTGAACTCAGGCCCTCTGATTTTATACAAGTTATTTGTTCTTTCCCACTAGATTTCCACAGTGGCTACTGGGCTCAGGACAGAAACACCGACCACACTGTCTGTCAGTCATTCTCTTAACTACTGGGCTATCTCTCCAGCCCGTCAGTCATTCTCTAGAGATAAGCTTTGTGTGGTCCTGTCCTTTGGTTTTCATCAAGTTTGCTTCCTAACATATTATTCTGTGCACCAGGTTAAAGTTCTCCCTACGCTCTGCGAGAGCCAAAGTTGATGTTTTTAGTCTTAATTACTGTGCCTAAGAGATCCATGAAACAAAAATGCCTCTAGCCTGTAAGCCCCTTGCCCAAGGACAGAAACTTCCTGAAATGTTAGAGGCTGTTGTTTATGGGAGACAATAAGCCACAGGTTTTCACTTCCCTAAACATGTTTGCTTGACTCAGCTGTACCGGATGTGCTTGGTCACAGGGAGGTGGGAGGTGCACATGGGCAGGAACTAGATCAGGTGTATGCATGCTTGTCCCTGGTTGGACAATGGGAAATGATGGGAAATATGGAGGCCTTATGGTTTAGCCTTTTTAAGCTTCTGCAAAACATGACTCATGCCCGTTTCCTGGGGACTGTGGGATGGTTCTGGCCACAGCCCATCATCCTGGCTAGCATTTAATTAAAGCTTGCTTTAAATTTGGCGCAAAAATTGTGGAACTGGTCTTTCTCTCACAATTTTTCAGGTTTAACTTATGCTATTAATTTATAAGACAAACCTTTCCAGGGCTGAGGTAAGTTGAGAACAGCCAGGCCCTGACAGGTCTGCCGTAATGCCACCATTTCATTGGCAGTGCAGTTATAAGACTGACCTGATGGCAGAGATCACCGTAGCAATCCCCTCCCTCCACTCTGGAATGGGGCGGGGAAGACAGAAGGCGGAGACAGCTAGCTCCCACCATGGATGTGTATCTCTGCAATGACCATGTCTCTGCTTGGTGTTGAGTCCTGACAGGACTTACCATTGCTCAATTCCTTATTCACCAATCAACAAGCAGGTTACAGGTAACTGAAGGGTTGTGTCACAGGGTGGAGGCAAGGGCTTTGACTTAGAATAATGGTTCAAATTACCAGAGGTAGCTGGTTGTACCACCACTCTGAGGACAAGCTAACCGACTTAAGAGAAGTTACCTCATATACTAGGGCCCCATTTAAAGGAGGACCAGACAATCTACTTTCTAATGTGTGTGTTCAATGGAGATGATCTTGCTAACTGGAAAGATGCCGTTTTCTTAAGACATGATTGCACTAGTCTTGGATTTTTAAAAAGGAGAAACTAAAAGAACAAAGAGAAGGCAGATGTGGTGTCCATACAAGAAAACTCAGGAACTCTTCTGTGCTCTCAGGCACGGTGGCCCATGTATGACTACCACACAGAATCAGAACTTCAGGTTACTTTTCAAAAGACCAGGGCTGTGTGTGTAGGGGGAGGGTTTTTTTTTTTTATAAACTTCCTTTATCTCCCTTTCCACTCCAATGGAAACAAATGTCTAGAAAACTTTAATGCAGCCAAAGACTTGTGTGATGGACTGTAACTGGGCCAGGGCTGTGTGAGAATGAGGGGCTTTGAGGGAAGATGGACAGATGCTATGCAAGAGGGACACAAAACTTGATGCCTTTGGGACTGGCTGCAAATGCCTTTTGACCTTGGTGTTTGGTGAGTTCTATTGTTTTTATCTGTTTTTGAGAAGGTGACACATGATGAAGAATTGTATTTGTGCAACTGGAGGATGGTAACATTGAACTAGAACCTGCGGTGATTTTCAATTTGAGTCTTTAAAGTTGGGTGAGGACGTAGCAGAATGATCTCTTGTACTGGTTCCTGATCAAATCTCCATGAAGAAATCCCAAAGATGATGAATGGCTTTCTCAGCAGTCCACGATCCCTGTGGGCTGAGGAGACTGGACAGCAGTCCAGAAGTCTATTCTGGGCATTGAAACTGGGACCCACCCTAGAAGGCAGTGATGGGTGTAGGGTAAAGGGGTGTGTGTGTGTGTGTGTGTGTGTGTGTGTGTGTGTGTGTCTCCATTCGTCCATGTTCATTCTCAGCAGGTCTGTGAACCGTGGTTGCATGGAAGGAGGGAGCCAGAACAGAACCTTCTGGAAAGACAGGTGGGATTCAGAAATGTAAGTTGCTTTTGTGGTCAAAGATTAATGGTGACCGGGCACGCGTCACTGTATACACCATCCTCTGCCTTTTGTGAAGGAATAAATGGATGCTTTGTGCCCAAGGCCTGCAAAAATGGGCATTTTGGGAAGGTAGCCATTTACAGTTCTTCAGCTGGCTACAGAAACACACTATTTCCTAATCGCAGACTTTGAAAGGCCCCATGGGCTTTAGCATCCTCATGGTGTTGAAGCAGGTATGTGTTCAAAAGCCAGAAAGCTGACAAGAAGTACTTTCTCTGAAGACAACAGGAAATGAACTGGCTTCCTGGCTTAGTGGTCACTCAGTCTGTAAAGGAAATGCAGATTCTGCCTATGTGCTTATGGCCACCAACCAGCAAGATTGCTGTTCAGTGTTGAAGATACACCCGCTGTTGCCAGAAGAAATCCAGCTGCTCATTTTTATGGGAATGAGAGGCTCAAGCCACAAACTGGACAAAGGAAGTATCTCACTTGAGGTCTCATTGAACCCTCCCTGGTGGCCAGCAAGAGCAGCCTTTGAGAATTACCTAACGAGGAGAGGTGTTAAGGGAACTTTCCTTGGATTAGAAAGCGCTGAGCAGATCTGAAGCCTCACAAAGAAAGCATGCTGACCTTTGCAGGCCTTGGGCACAAAGCATCCATTTATTTCTTCTCAGAGGTTTGTGTGTACAGTGATGCGTGCCCGGTCACCATTAATCTTTGACTACAAAAACAACTTACATTTCTGAGTCCCACCTGTCTATCCAGAAGGTTCTGTTCCGGCTCCCTCCTTCCATGCAAGCATGGTTTACAGCCCTGCTAGGACACGGACGGACGAGCAGGACAGGGACACGCACACACTGTGATTGGTATCGCCACCTTTTGACCCACAGCGGTGCTCAGACTTGTCAGCACCTGAAACCTTCCCTCGAGGTGTTACTGGCTTCCTGAGCCAGCTGCCAGATCACACTGATTTTGGCAAAAGCTAAGACAAAGCTAAGCCTCTGGATGAGGCTCCCCATTGTTTCCTCTACTGTGTCACTGACTTTCCAAAGAACTTGCTGATCTGACCAGTAGAGCTACTTACCAGTTCCTGTCCCTTCCAACCATGGCAAGACCTCCCCAGCTTGGCTGTGCCCCTGGCAGCTGATTAGCCCCAGCCCTCTCACGTCAGGTGCTGTGTCCTCTGTGGGCTTAGGCACCTTTGCCAGATGCCTCAGCTGTGTCCCTCTAAGCATGCTGGGGACGTTTCATGGGTTTGTCACACTCTTGGGTTCTCCCTGGGCTGTCCTTAGCCCTAGGTTCTAAGGCTGTTCTTTCATGCCAAATGACAATGGCTCAATGGGTGTTCCCTGACAAGAAACAAAACTAACCCAACAATACCTTTCTAATCAGCAGCAGGTGGAATAGCAAGAACACAGGCTCCGACAGCTGGTACAAGCACTCACTGTTACCATGTGGCCTCAGGCTGCACCTCTGGACAGTTGAACAGAGATAAGGTACCCACCAGGCTGACCTGTGCTAGCATGTCTGCACTAAGGTCTATGGAAGGAGCAAGTGAGCGGATACAGTCTGCTGTGGATTTGAACAATGTTTCGTCTTTAAATCTTACACTACTGAACATCATCCTAGTCTTATTTCTGTTACTGTCCTGACCAAAAACAACACTGAAGAGCAAAGAGGTTTAGTAAGACAACTGTGACCATGCATGGACTGGACCTAGAACCCCCTACAAAATATAGCCAATAGCAGCTTAGGCTTCATGTGGGTCCTCAAGTAAGGAAATCGGGGACTGCATCTGACATGGACTCTTGCCAGCTGTTTGATCACTTCCCCCCAGTGGGACTGCCTTGCCAGGCCACATGGAGAGGACAAGCTCAGTCCTGGTGCAGATTGATGAGCTGTGGTGGATATGAAAACGGGTTCCCCTTTTCTGAGAAAGAGGGGAGTGGATGGAGGGAGGGTGGACCTGGGAGGGGAGGAGGAATGGGGCTACAATTAGGATATAAAGTGAATAAAAAACAATTAATTTAAAAAAAGACTACAGGTTACAGTCCTTTATTGTATGGGAAGACATCATGGACCCATAATTCATCTCTTTAAGCTTCAGTGTTTATCTACAAAATGAATTGGTACTCTGTATATATACAGAGAGACAAAGATGCTGAGATGTTAACGAGACAGCACTGGAGTTGGAGGAGTATCTCAGTGGTTCTTGGTTAGTATGCATGGAGCCTTGGGTTCCAACCCCAGAGCTGCAAACAAAAATAGTAATAGCTGGACAGCACACAATGAAAAAGGGTTCTCAATAAACGTTCCTTGTTTTAAAGGACACACAAACACACCTTCTTTGGCTTTAAGCTAAAGCTCAGTAAGACTCCAGGACTCTAGTTTCATCCCATTAACCAAGACTCCATCCAGTCTAGCCCTGGGCTCGTTCAGTGTGGAGAACACAGACGCCGGTCACCGTTCTCCTAAGGCGTTACCACCTCAGAGGAAGCTGTTCACACTGTCAGCACCATGAGGACAGTGAGCACTAGGCAAGTGGCTCCTGGCCTGCCGTGGGGTAGGGCTGGAGCAGGGAAGGTGGGCATTGAGACCTCGGAGAGGAACAGGGTTGAGATGGGAGCACTGTGGTGCAGCCGCTAAACCATCTCTCAGCCTTTGAATGTTCCGGGGCCCACCCAGCCTTCCTCCTGCCCCGGTTAGTGATCTCTTGAACAGAGTTAACAAGAGCTTTAGTTACCCCTGGGGAAGAGCAGAAAAGGAGAAACAAAACAAAACACTTTTCCACTTATACAACTTTTCCGGGGAAGACATAACCAAATGTCTGTTGATAATCAGTTGGGGTACCAGAGACAAACCAAAGAGATGATTCCACCTAAGGCTGGCTTAGTAACCAATGCGTTTACCTGGTTACTTTACAGGACCATCAGCAACTCAAAGGCAGCTGCATCTGCCCAGCCCAGCCCAGCCCAGCGTGAGCGGCAATCACAAACTGGCATCTGCATTCTTGGGGCTCCTGCTGGACTCACTAAAGTGCTCACTGCCTCACTATGTTTGGAGCCCAGGGAGCCTTGAGGAGGGACTCTGTGATGCAGAACTAGCTCTATCAGCTTTCTGAACCTTCTATCTCCCCCAGAAGTAAATGCTTGAATCCAGAAGGATTTACACAATACAAGCCTTTAACAAAATAAAATTTCTGAATAAAATTTTAAAGTTCCCCCTAGTACCCTGGTAACTATAGCATATAGTTAGTGAAATAAAATACAATAATATTCTGTGATTAACACTTCAGTTTATTAGGTGTTTTAATAAAGTAAAACTTTATAATGACAAATAACATAAGCTGTTTATGATATGCTTACAGTATGACAGGCATGAGTGAAGACACCCTCAGTAACAGTAATACAACGTGTGAGTACAGGTGAGCGGGCGCAAGAGTCGGGCTGTCTGAAGGCTGGGCAGCCCGTCACCACGGAGACCCTAGCTGGAAATTATGCCAGCTCAGCTTCTTAGCATCACTGACCTTAAGCTTAACAAGATAAAAAGTCCACTGTATCAGCTATTATGAAGCTTTGGAGAGGATTTCCTCTGGCTCTGATGGTATTTACTCCAGAACCTCATTCCCTTTTGGAGGCCTCTTTATCCTTGAGTAGGGACTAATTGTGTCATCCATCACAAAATCATACAGCACTTTGAACCACGAGTTGTAGTGGGGGAGGTTATCATAGTATTCAGCTGCTATTTTCCTCACCTGGAAGTGAAAAAACACAGCGAGTGTTACAGAGTCCTCAAGATGACAGACAGAGGGACAACATACGAAAGCAGCCAAAGGACAATGCCTTTGCTCAGGGTCCTTCAGACCCCTGCAGTTCTTCATGAATAAGGACGGCCTTCAGACCACATGCACATACACAGCTCTGTCGTACTCTACTCTGAACTTACAGCAAAGCCAGCAGCTTAACAGCTGGAACAGAAAGATGCTAGCATTCCAAATTTTACAATGATAGAGTCAGTTCAAAGCCTGGGACTGGAAATGCACTAATAAATATCATTAACACAAGGAGCTGATGAACTGTAGACATTATAAAGACATAAAGTTTTAAAAAATCAAATCTTTAATACTAAGAATTCGAGAACCTAGGGAATTTGTCATGTGTACACATCCCATACTGACATATGATGTCTGTGACTATTACAAAGTTGCGAACGAACTGAAAAATGCTTAAAAAACTTTCTGTGCTGGGGCTGGAGAGACGGCTCAGTGGCTAAGAGCACCCGCTGCTCTTCCAGAGGACCAGGGTTTGGTTCCCAGCACCCACATGGCACCTCACAACCACCTATAATTCCAGTTCTAGAGGCTCCAACACTCCCTTGGCCTTTAAGGGCACCAGGCATGCACATGGTATACATGTATATTTGCAACACACTCCTAAAACAAAAATGAAAATAAAAAAGGCCTGTGAGCAGCAAAATTACCCAAAGTATATAATAACCTTTTAAAAGTTAAAGAGAGTAAAACTACATAGGGACTGTGTAATAAACATCAATCAGGTAGTTAATAAACAAAATTCCTCACAGGCATACATCTTAGAAAGAACAGGAAAGGCAGGGCTTTCCAACTCTAGGACTGTTTACAGTTTATTAACAAAGGGGTAAAAAGATACCATGGAAGAGTGGGAAATGGGTAGACACTGACGTGTTGACTCTTCTCCTTAAATCATGATCCTTCCTGAAAAATAACAAAAACTTGGTTTCCTAGTCACAGAAGAGGGAAACATGGGCTGCCAGCCTGCTTGCTGGCGCAGCAGCAGGAAGACACCGAGGGGCCGGGACCAACATCACCTTGCACCACAGTTCAAAGCTGTCTCCAGATGCTTGGGTGCTGCTTTCTCCCTAACTGAAAAGCCAAGAGGGTAACAGAGTAGCCCTCAAGCTTCCCAATTAGCCCTCTGACACACTTATTTGACATGTGTTCTGTAAGTGCAGCACACCCACGCTGGCTTTCTTCCGGACGATGTGCCAACTTAAGCCTGCATTTCAACTCCAAATACTGCAACACATATTTCCAGAGGACACTTTTCCCACAAAACTCTATCCGCATTACTCCAGGGAAATCTAGCCTTGACATATTCTTGTAATATGGATTACCCGTTCATTCAGTACAGTTTAGTCTTTCCCTAACCAGACCCAAAGCAATGACCACATGCTGCAATTCGTTATCACGTTGTACCTGACTTTTCAACAGTGTTTAAAAATTTGAGTATGTCAGCATAAAATATCTGTTAGGGTTCCCTTATATACACTTAAAAAAAGTAAAGAAAAACTATTATTTTTTTTATCTGTTTTAACATTTTTTTTTTAAGAATTCCTTTTTCTTTTTTTCTAACAGAACAGGCTACTCACTTTGTTTTTCCTTGTTTCTTTTTGTTTTTTTGAGACAGGGTTTTTCTGGGTAATGCTGGCTGTCCTAGAACTCACTCTGCAGACCAGACTGGCCTTTAACTGCAGAAATCTGCCTGTCTCTGCCTCCAGAGTGCTGGGATTAAAGGCCTACTCCACAGGCCACGCTACTCACTCTGAAGAGGAAAAGGCTAGTGAGACGCTTCAGCAGAAAAACTGAAGTTAATAGAGTGGAAAAGAAGAAAAGAACGAAGGTCAAACTGTCTACTGTCCCGACAGAGTTCCTGCCAGGGAGGGTACAACGTTAGACACTGGCGCTGTCATGCTGCAGGCCACCTCACCTGTGTCACAGAGCAGCTTAACCAGCTGCCACAGTTCAACAGTGACAGAATGCTCTATCAACTGATGCTCCCTGCATGGAGGAACTGTCTTCTACTTCTGAGGTGGGTTACCAGTTAAGAGATTTTGTACATCCTCCAATACTTCTGAACTCTAAGCATAACCACTAAGCCTAAGGACCCAGAATGGAAGATGAGGAATCCTTAGTAAAGGAAAGCTGGAGACAAAGGATATATATTCTCCTGTTTTGAATCTCACAAAACATATTAGACTCCGTTTACAAAAAGCAAGCCAAACCATGACTAGTTTTGATTACAACATTGTCAGAAACAAAACATCAAGTCCTTTACTTACCAGGGGCAGGTTTTTTCCAGGAACGTTGGGGAAGTCATGGTGCTCGTTATGATAGCCCACATTGAAGGTGAGTAAGTTCAGAGGCCCATAATATGAGTATGTTTCATGTCCCTTTAAGAACATGTAATGTTCTGCTATAAAATGTCCAGAAATTGGGTGTAAACCCAGGCCAAGCAGGGTGGCGGCCAGCATGTAGACTAAAGATTTAATTCCAAAAACATAGTAAACTATAATGTTAAAAACGATCTGAACTGCAGTATTGATGATTTCTAGATAAGTAACTGGTTTGGGATTGATGAACAGGGGTCTAAAAGCATAAAAGAGAGGCTGAAGAATAACCCAGACAAGCTTCCTGAAGGTGGTGCAGAAGAACCAGCCCTCAAAATCAGTAGGAATATCTACGTCGATGCCGTCAGCTCCGAGGAATCGATGGTGATCCATGTGGTATCTCTTAAAGGAAATCGAATATGGAACCCCGAGAGGGAGGTTAGCAAATATTCCAAACCAGCGGTTCCACAGAGCCTTGTGGTGGCCGAAGGGGAAATTGTGAGAAACCTCGTGGATGGCCAGAGTCATTGAGTGGTTAAGGCAGCTGCCAAAGGCATAGCACCAAAACAGGAGCCATTTCCAGTCCAAGTCTTTTACTAAGTAAAAGGAAGCCAACTGGATGAGAATCATCCCAGTTATGATCCAGATTAGGTTGGGGTCAGGTTTCATCAAGGCTTTTATCTCTGGATATTTTGCTGCAAGAAAAACAAATACTGAAAATCAGAAAGAAAGAGGGAACGAAAGAAAGAAAAGCACAAGAGTTCGGCAACTATAATTAATGCAATTGGGTTTTTCTCTTTTCTAAATCATAATACTCTCCCCTTACAGACTTTACAAAATATTCCATTTCCTAAAGGGAAGGAATATATTCTGGTTATAAAGTCACAAAATAGCATGACATAACAATTTATGCAAGAAAAATTAAACAATCTAGACATTCTATATTCTTTTATATTAAAAGAACTACATCTGTGTTTGGACAAAGCCTGCATATAGTTTCTTTTAAGATTTATGTACTTTTTACTTTATTTATTGTTTGAGTGTTTTGCCTGCATATATGTTTGTAAGCTATGTGGGTGCCTGGTGCCTGAAGAGGTCAGAAGAGGGTATCAAACCTCCCTAGGAAGGTATATGTAGCTACTGGCAACCATGTACCTTTGGAAACCAAGCATGTGTCTTTGCCACTGAGCTATCTCTCTAACCCTAGCTGAGGCATATTTCTCTTATATAAACCATTACATTACAGCTGACATAAGAAAGAACATTTGTTTTTAAAGGATCTCCAAATCATAAAACTCATTTTCATGGTTCTCTCAGACCAATCAACTTCCTTCAAGTAGTTCTATGTTGAACTTTCACAAAACTTTAAAACCAAATGGGCATAGTGGCACCAATATCCTCACCATGCAGGAGGCTGAGGTGGTTAATAAATTCTAGGCCAGTCTGGATGACAAAGTAAGATCCTGTCTCAACAAAGGAAACAAAGCAAAACTAACTCCCCAAACCCAATAGTATAAGGGCCTCCTAACCAGCAGGAAAGGATCGTGCTAAAACAAGTGCTTCCCAACACGACAATGATCAAGTTGGACCTCTTCCCTACACCAAAAAAACTAACCCAAAATGATCATAGGTCTAACAAAAGTATAGAACTCAAGAAAAAGGAAAAGATAAATTGAAGTGCATTAAAAATAACAATAGCATCAAAAAGAATATGTGACAGGACTGGAGGGTTGGCTCAGAGGTCCTCAGTTCAATTCCCAGCAACCACATAAACAGCCATCTACAACGAGATCCAGTGCCCTCTTCTAGCCTGTGGGCACACATGCAGACAGAACACTGTATACAAAAAAAAAAAAAAAAAAAAAGCAGGTGACAATCTAACCAGCAGGCAGACACATTTACAAATCACCTATTTCATAACAAAATCATATCTAGACTATGTAATGCATGTTTAAAACTTTTACAAGTAACAGCCCAATTTTTCTAAAGGCAAAAAAAATCTAACAACCATATATATGTAGAAATATACATATATACACACATAAATAAACAGAGCCCTCCTCAAAACACATGAAAGACACTTGATATCATTAGTCACACCCACACCCACAACCCCACTAAAACCTTTGCAATTTAAAGACAGCTATAGCTCAACGGTAGAGAACTTGACTAGCATGTGGGAGATGCTAGATTCAAACTCCAGAAGAGAGGTGGGGTCAGGAGGAGAGTTTTGAGGGCCAAAGCACCTACTGCACGAGTCTGACCACCTGAGATGAATCCCACAAACCCACATCAAAAGCATGATGTAATCCTATGAGCCCAGTAAAAAGCAAGGCGGGATGGTGCATACCGAAGGTGCTAACGGTATTGTGGCAAGGGAAGGTGTTGAGACAGCAGACCACTCCAGAAGCTAGGAGGCTTCCGGGCCCACTAGCTCGGACTGCCCAGCAAAGGCTGAAACGGTAGACATCCTGCTTCAAAACCAGGTGGAAGGAGACAGTCTACTCCTGAAAGCTGTCACAGCCACAGTGCACACTGTGGTGTGTGTGTGTGTGTGTGTGTGTACATACACAAATGTCAGCACACCCACATGTGCACACCAGAGACGGGCAGCAAGCAGGTTGTCGAGAAAGCATAATCTTCACACACTGTCCATGGAAATGTAAAATGGTTTAGACAGTCTGACAGTTAAAAAAATGCTAAACAAAGAACCGCCAAAGATCCTGAAGGCTCTAAACTTATCAACAGATTAATCTCTTAAAGGCTTCACAAAGTACTGGGAGGTGAGCAGGTAACTGGAGGCATGCCACAGAGTCACGTTTGTGCCTGCTCTTTCTGCTTCTTGAATGACCTGAGGGGGATCTCTTTTTCTTTCCCCTTCAGATTCCTTCCACCATGATTTTACACCCCTGCCCTAATTGCATACCATCAGTCAAATTCAGACTCTTATCACGGCAATGAGGCAATAACTAACCAAACCCAGGAGCCCAAAGCAACTGACGGCACAGCTGGTGATGACTGTGAAAGTGTCCCTTTCCAACCTCCTCACTCAATTCAAGTTCTGGGTCAGAAGGCAGGGGTGCAGCTCAGGATTTTAGAGGGCTTACTAGCTCCAGGAATCCTTAAGTGGGAATTCCACGACTACGAAAAAAAAAAAATCACTTGAACGGCATCTATTCGGCTCTTATTTGTGAAACAAGAAAGGCCTAAGTCTAGCTACCACTGAAGAAATCAGGACCCCCCCCCCAACCCAACGAGGCAAAAAATTTCAAGAGTGTGAAAACGGTGGGTATGAGACAACTCCTCATATTCAATGGCTTTTCATTGATTCATTTAATTTTTTTTTTGTTTTGTTTTTCCGAGACAGGGTTTCTCTATGTAGCCTTGGCTGTCCTGGTCTCGCTTTGTAGACCAGGCTGGCCCCAAACTCACTGAGATCTGCCTGCCTCTGCCACCCCACGTGCTGGGATTACAGGAGTGTGCCACCTTACTTTATTTATGTATTTTTTTACAAAACCGAAAGTTTAAAAAACCCAAACAAACCAAAACCTTTCTATATCTACCACGAGGAAGGAAAAAAGGCATATTCTTTGGCTGCAATCTAATATTACCTCATCTTTTAAAATGCTGGCCCAGGCAAATTACTGGAAACGGAAAATTGAATTGAGAAATATATGCAAAGTCCTCGACCTAACAATTTGTCATCCCTCGTAAGAGCAGCCTGCGAGGGATAAGAGACTTCTCTATTGCACGGGGAAACCCGTAATATTCTCCAGACTAAGTCAGGCCTAGCCTGTCCTAAGTCCTGGAGGCTGGGCTGAGCCTTTTCCATCCGGCCAGCCCCGCAGATGCCTGGGATAAGGACTCACCGGAGCCGTCCAGTCTGGGAAAACTCGGGTCAATGGGAGCTGGTCTCCGCTAGGCCAGCGGCTGCCTGGACCACGTGATCGAGGCTCCCGGGGGCCGGGGGGGGGGGGGAAGCCCGGGATGCCCCTGGACCACGCCCTGAGCCAAGCGGGCTGCCGGGCCGGAGCCCGCCCCTCCCCACGGAGAGGGGTAGGGCTAACACGACCGACCGTCGGGGCGAGTCCCGGTCGCCCTACCGGGGGACCCTCGGCTCACAGGCCCGCGGGGGCGGCCGGCACCTGACCGTCGAAGGGCCTGCGGCGCGAGGGGTGGGGGAGGAGAGGCGCAGGCCCCCATCGCCGCCCCGCGGCCCGCTGCCGCCGCCCCTCCCGCCCCGGCGGCCGAGCAGCCGAGCGGACGGAAGGGGCCGCGGAGGCCGCGCGCACATAACGGGGCGCTGGTCCTCACCCAGAATCTCCTGGCGCCGGTTGGCGTGCGGCTGGTCCGTGTAGACCCACTCGAACTCCTCCCGGGACACGCGGCTCCCCATGGCTGCGGCGCGCAGGCCCGCTCTGCCTCTCGCCGGCGACTGGGCTCCTCTTAAGAGCCGGCCGCAGCTGGCTCCCCCGCTCGTGTCGGTCAGCGGCGGGGACGCGGCGGGGGCGGGGCCTCACGCCACGCCACGCCCCGGCAGCCTCGGGGCGATGGGCGGGGCCTGGATTCGGCAGCCGGGAACCTTGCTGGCTCCCGGAGCCTGGGAAAAGGTGAAGAGGGAAGGAAAAGGTCTGTAGCCGGATAAGGATCCCGCTTTAGCGCCTCGGTGGGTGGAGTACTTCGGGGTGGCTACCTCTCCACGAGTCCAGAAGATCACTGGCTTGATTAAATGGCAACAGGCCCAAGTTTCGTTTAATTTTTAATAGCAAATTATCCTTTGAGTCATGTTTGATTGCCTTCTAGAATTAAAACCTCCGGAGAGTTGGAGTGTGTGGCAACTAAAATCTAATAAAATATTTTTTTTTTCCCTCATTGTTCTTCTCTCCCCTCTCTTGACCTTCGACCCCCTCCCCCTCATATGTTTGCTGTTTAATTTGCTTTTCTTTATTGAAGTAGGGTCTCACTACCTAGCCTTGGCTCTCCTGCCATGGCCACCCAGTGGAATTTCAGGCTTGTCTCACCACACAGAAAAGGGAAGGGGAGATAGAGTGGAGTTTGTGGTTCGAATGTTTCTCCTATACTAACGGTTGCTCAACCATCATTTTCTCATGTGCCACGGAATGATCATTCACAGCTTCCTGTGGGAGGTAGAGGACAGATTTGATTTCAAAATGCCTTCCTGCTTCTTCACTTAGGAACTTTAGAGAATGGACGTGTGTTGTAGTACTGGGGCACTGGCCAGGCAGGTAGATGGGCCAGAGGCCTGGCTTCAGGCCCGGAGCCTGGGAGTGAAAGGAGCTGCTAGTTAAGACTCCAGGGATTAACAGACGGGATGACTTTCCTTAAAAAGCCAAGTGAACATAAAGCAGAAAATAAACCAGACAGGCATACACCACCGCACGCGCACAGCAGCCGGGGAGAGGTAGGGAGACAGAGAGGCAGACACCCAAGTCTGATGGGTCAGTAGATACAACTGCTAATGTGCAGAGGGCTATGAGCAATGGAAGAGTCTGCCTAACTACCCCCGGGACACAATCAGCCAGATCTCACTGTGGGAAACTAGAGGGCAGCTGTGTTCTCTAATAAGCAAAGGGAAAACCAACAAGTTAGCAGGGACTTAAAAGATGAACTAACCAGCTGTGAGGCATTGCTCCTATTTCTTCCGAAGGATTAAGGACGATGCGGTATTATGTAAAGATCTATGTATGTGTGAGAGTGAAGTTACCTTCAGAGGCCAGGAAAGAATGTTACTCCCTTGGCGCTGGAGTTTCACGCAATTGTGAGACACCCTGTCCCCACATGGGTGCTGGACACTGAACAGTAGGCACTCTTATCAAACCGTCTCTTTAGGCCCTGACGTGACATTATTTAATTCGTGCATTTGCATAGGTGAAGGTATTAAGAAACTGAGCATGGTGGCCCAGTTGTGTGTGATCCCTGCTGGCAGAAGCCTCAGGCAAATAGATCACAAGTTCCAGGGTTGCCTGTGTTACAGAGCAAGTTTCACCCTGTGAAAAATCAGTTAGACCCAGTCTCCCCCCTCCCAAATAGATGGAAGATTGGACATGGAGTTCAGTAGTGGAGCGCACAGTAAGGTACTAGGTTCACTATACAGCACCACCACCAAAAACAAACCAATAAACCAAACAACAACAAACCCAACCCTTTTACATTTCTTGTAATAGTGCTTCTTTCCCCAGAGGTTCATACTAAGGAAAAAACTAAAACAGCTGAAGTACAGTACATATTTCAAGGTGTTTTGTGCTGTGCTGGGTGGTACCGCCTAAAAATGTACAGGAACGGGGCGGGAGTGGGTTTCCTGGCGGAACCTCTAACTGCCGTGCACACACCTAGGGCTGTAAAAGAACTTGAAACAGTGGTGGTGCAGCCCCATGGCAACAACGTTCAGGAAGGTGAGGCGGGAAGATACTGAGTTCGAGGCCAGCCTGTGCTTCATGTGGAGGGAGAGCCTGTTTCAAAACTTTTAAATAAATAGTAAAATGAGATTAAAAGATTCTGAGCTACAGAATAATTATGGGTACTACCTTAGTTACAACTAAATGTATTTCTTTGGTACAATTTAATTTTAATTTTTTTGTTTATTTTGTTTTTTGAGACAGGGTTTCTCTGTGTAGCCTTGGCTGTCCTGGAACTAGCTCAGTAGACCGGTCTGGCCTTGAACTCACAGAGATCTGCCTGGCTCTGCCACCTGAGTGCTGAGACTAAAGGTGTGCACCACCATTGCCAGGCTTATTTTAATTTTTAATGTTTATTACTTTATGTGGGCTGATGTTTTGCCTGCATGCATGTATGTTTGTGTACCATGTTGTGGTGTCCTTGGCGGTCAGAAGAGTACATTGGATGCCCTGGAACTGGAGTCTACAGATGGTTGTGAGCCTCTGTGTGTATACTGGGAACTGAACCCAGATCCTCTGCAAGAGCAGCAAGTGCTCTTTACCTTGGCCCCAGCCTCGTACACAGTTTTTAAAGTTTCAGTGTGTATACACACAAAAGCTAACAGAAGCATAAATGTTAAAGCAAAAGCATAAATAAAGTTGTTAGTGCACGAAGCTAGGTAGAATTATTTGTGGCTGTTGTTGCCTCTCTATCTGGGGTAAACAGAAACAGTTTTCCCAGCCATACACTGAACTTGACACATTCTTCCATGTAATTTAAATGTTTCCCTTATTTGTTTAATTTTGTGAGTAGGCAGTTTCCTTCCTTCCTTCCTTCTTTCCTTCCTTCCTTCCTTCCTTTCTTGTTTTTTCTTTTTCTTTTCTTTTTTTTTTTCTTTTTCTTTTTTTTTTTTTTTTTAGGCAGGGTTTTTCTGTGTAGCCCTGGCAATCTTTGGAACACCTTGAACTCAAAGATCTGTCTGCCTCTGCCCTACCAGTGCTTGGATTAAAGGCATGTGTAACCACCATCTGGCAGGGTTTTTGTTTGTTTGTTTTTAAATTTACTTTTAAAATGTTAGTAATTTATTTGCTTTACATCCCTATTGTAACCTCCTCCCTCATCTCATCACAACCCCCCTCCCTCCCTCTTCCCCCCCTCCCCGCTTTCTTAGTCCTCAGAAAGGGGGAGCCCTCCTCCCCTACCATTTCATTAGGACTGCCAGCATCCTCTTCTTCTGTGCTCCCCCCCCCCCCCCCCGCCGCCCCACCAAGTGGAAGTGATCAAAGAGTCCATGTCAGAGACAGCCCCTGCTCTCCTTACTAGGGAAACTGCATGGAGACTGAGCTGCCCATGGTCTACATCAGAGCAGGGGGTCTAGGTCCTCTCCATGCATGGTCCTTGGTGTATCAGTCTCTGCAGCCCCCCTGGGCCCAGATTTGTTGGCTCTGTTGATCTTCTTATAGAGCTTTTGTCCCCTCTGGGACCTTCTGTTCCCCCACTCTTTCCTCTGACTCCCTGAGCTCTGCCCCAAGTTTGGCTGCGAGTCTTAGCATCTGCTTCGATCCCCTGCTGTGTGGAGTCTTTTAGAGGACATCTATGGTGGCCACCAGCCAGACCCTGATCAGCCTTCTTCGAGAGTATGGGACCAGAATAGGAAGGATGCCTGGTTACGATCTTCTCAAAGCCGCCGGCTGAGCCTATCAGCCTAATTTCACGTTCCGAGTCACCCTTGGTGAATCCAGCTGCACTGGTCAGGACCCCAGCAAGAAGGCAGCCAAACACAAGGCAGCTGAGGTGGCCGTCAAACACCTCAAAGTGGGGAGCATGCTGGAAACTGCACCAGAGGACAGCAGGCCTTTTTGTCTCCTAGACTCGTGACTGCCGGAGGACGCTCCTGTCATTGCTGCAGAAGTTGCTGTCCCTGTTCCATCTGCTATACTAGCCAGGAGCGCCTCCCACCCCCCATGGATGCCCCCCTGTCTCCCCTCAGCAGTCTGAGTGCAGACAGCCCTGTTGGTGCTCTGCAGGAGCTGGTGATGCAAAAAGGTTGGTGTTTGCGGGAGTACACAGTGACCCGGGAGTGTGGGCCTATTCACCGCAAAGAGTTCACCATGACCTGCCTCGTCTTCAGATTTCATTGAGGTTGGCAGTGGCACTTCTGAAAAGCTGGCAAGGGGGAATACAGCCACTAAAATGCTGCTCTGAGTGCACAGTACCTCTGCACGCCCAGCCGGCAACCAGGCAGAGTCTGACAGCGACCATTTCTCCATTGGTGTGAGCTCCCGCCTAGATGGACTTTGGAACCAGGGGCCAGGAGGTACCTGGGATTCCCTGGGCAATTCTTGGGGAGAAAAGATCCCGTCCCTTCGCAGTTGCTCCACAGGCTCTGGGCTTTGCCTGCTGCAGCATTCTCAGTGAGCTCTCTGAGGAGCAGGCTTTCCATGTCAGCTACCTGGATATTGAGGAACTGAGCCTCCATGGGCTGTGACAGTGCTTGGTGGAACTGTCCACCCAGCCAGCAACTGTGTGTCACGGTTCTGCAACTACCGGAAAGGCAACCCAAGGTGAGGCTGCTCTCCTCGCCTTACCGTACCTTAGGATGGTGGTGGGTAGCAAGCAGCATCCCGGCTGCAGTCGTGGATGAGCATCTCTCACTTCTTGCTCCTTCTGCCCCTGGGCCTATGCATTGTGTTAGCTCTGGAGCCCTCCAGAGGTGTGGTCTCTACCTCTGACACAGCCTGCCTGCCTTGAGACTGAGGAAGGCGCCGGCAAGCCAGGAGCCATGAACCACAGGGCCCCGGCCAGCACAGGGTTGCCCTCATTTTATGAATGACGAATGGAAAGGAAGTTGGAATTCTATTGGAGTCCAGGATAAATGCTGTTTCCTAAATCCTGCTCTCCCTGGTCTTGGGTCATGAGAGTGACAGAGGAATAAATACAGTGTGTTTACTCTTTAAAAAAAAAAAAGTGCTTCTGAATTAGAAGATTTTAGCATGTTTGGATTTGCAGTTAAAACATTCATACAATTCTCCCCATGTAGTGAGAATTTTGGAATTTTGGTTTCTTAAAAAACAAAACAAAACAAAACAGAAATATAA